CTGAAAGACCTTCCTGGTTAGAGCCAAGAGAGCTCTAAGCCTTGTCGAAAAATGGGGAACTGCAGAACAAAACTATTCCAAGAGCGCGGCGCCTCTTCACAGAAGAAAAAACAGGATTCAAGGATTTGAGAGGAGAAACATTACATTCAATTTGATAGTATCTCTTACCTCGTGCACCGCTGCACTGGCTTGATTCGCATGGAGTGCAGCGAATTATTCTGCTCCAATCCATGTTTCTCTCTTATTGACTAGAAAGTAGTAAATTAAACTTTAAAATAGACAAAAACGAAGTCCTGCAGAAGTTGGAATGCTGATCTATGCCGATTCCGATTATTAAAAAAATGATTTGAAGCATTTCAAACGACAAGCTTTTAGGACGATACCTCAAAGAATGACATCACTTCAGGTAACGCGACTACATGGTTGTTTTGCTCCATATTCACACAATAGTCGGTGTAAAGCTCATTGAGATAATCCACCCAAACTGTGAACGAACAACCAACTTCCTCTGGATCATCTTCGTACTTGGACAGTTCATGGAAAAACTTCCTACAATATTCCTTTACTTAGCTACTATCTCTCTAAAACAAATATAATACGAACCATTCCTACGAAGAATTATAACTAAAACATAGAAATCAGAAAAACTCAGAATATTGGAAGAAGAGCTTACTCTGAGTGGAAAGCGTACAGCTTTTCATAGTTACCGAAGATTGCTTGGCGACGATCTTTCAAAATGGATGGGAGTGTTGAATTTGCCTCAGCAGAATCGAATTCAGCAATGTATACCTGTAACTTCCTTTAATTGAGAAACACCTCAGAGAGAGGTTATACATAGGAAAAGGAAAGAGATGAGGTATAAAAACCCAGAAATTTGTAAATTTGTCAATTTAAGATCAATGCACAACAATAATGTGACACCATTTAAACGTCAGAAGATCCTCATATCTTCTGATGGAAGTCTGTTGCAACGACCAAATCGTTCGGGTCTATATACTTTCCGCGTAACTCTCTCTCTCACCTTCTATTGCAATCTTTAGGATCTTGATGCACTAGGCACCGCTATCTCCAGCCGGCGTGGCACACTTATAACGGATACGGTATTTCGATGTGTATCAGCTTTAGTGAAGAACGCTTGCGGTAGCGTGGAGCTCTATCCGAGAGCTGGGGTAGGGGTGTCACCGGAAGTGACGTGCACTTGACAGAAGCTATGGATCAGCTGCTTTCCAAACATACATCGCTGGATATCAGCAAAGCATGCTGGCAACAGCTTATCCACGCAACTTCTATCAAGTGCACGTCACTTCCGGTGATACGCCTACCCCAACTTTCGGATATCGACTGCATCCTAGCAAATGCAGCCTGCGGAAGAAACTACTCGGAAAATTCAGGAAAAGACATCAATAATCGGTGGCATTCAAGTGCCAGAATGAATCTTAAGCGGACCGAAAAGAGGGGACAAAGTAGCAGAATTCTTCCTGTTTGAGCGTAAACCACATACTCAACCTCCAACGGAAATCGCTGAGGGTCTGGATGCGCATTTGACCTCGAAGAGGCACATGAAAACGTAGTGTGATCACGACCAGAAGCAGCGCTCCCTACATTCAACAGCTTTCCATGTAGTTCCGCTGCAAAACGATGCCATCCTGAGAGTGTAGAAATCCTTGTTTGCTTTTAACCACCCACGACCCAGCCAGGGAGAAGGCCTGTTCACCCAAATCCACTCACTCTCAGGTTTGGTCCTTTTCACATGGATTCAGATATTCTATCGATCCTACAAAACATCACCGCTTGAGGTCACCCTCTCATCGAGCTTGAGCTCACCCACTCTTCAGAAAAAGCAGGGAATCTGGCATTATGTCAGTAAACTACATGGAATCACTACTCTAATGATAATGACGGTGACTTCAAGCAGTGATGTTTTGTAAAATCACCACTGACCTAAGTCTTATGACTAAAGAAAACAGCGAAAAAAACTTTGAATAGTAATCCGTTACGCTGTTGAGCCTGCAGTAATTTTTTGACTCCACACCTACGAAAAACTCCCGAATTCCCGTTCACATGTAGCTCTACTATACAAAACTGCACAAAAATAAAATAACTAAGATAAAAATATTGTTCAGAAAATTGCTTCACCTGTATACATTTCCGTAGATCTTCTATGTAGTCCCGCTCAGACTTTATGAGCTCATGCATAGGCTCCCTATAACTAGGGAAAACTCTATTATGTGACACGACCGTATTTTCAGAAAGAACCACAAGAATAAATGCTAAGGAAGAAAATAGCGAGAAGAACAGATAAGACAGATAATCAACAATGATACTGTTGAAGATTCGCTCCACGGTTTGAACACGACCGTAACCTGTTCATACTGGTGAAGCTGTGCCCTAGCAGCTTCTACTACAACACAGAACGCTGTAAAGCCATAACGTTTCGGGAAAAAAGAAAATTAGAAGAGAACGAGAAGGATATGTATGATCGAGAGAGCAGAAGTGAGGAGGTCAGAGATTAGGAGCATGAATAAGTTCAGCTGAAAAAGATAGCTATGTATTGACTGGTCTGATATTTTTTGAAGCAATATG